CGGGACGCCTCGGCGACCTGCCGTCCCTTCAGTCGATAACTAGGTACGTATGTCACAAAAAGTCAAAAAGTAGGGTCCCACCACGACTCTGTGTCTTAACCGCGGCGGCAAAATAGCCCGTCAAACATTTTCGTGCTTTGCAAGCTGCATTTTTGGAATCAGCGGGAAGACGGGAAGAATAAGCCCGGTAAAAAAAAGATAAGCGAAAAATTTTGTTCAAGATTCTGCTTAGACGCTGCCTTTAAGCTTCGCTAAATTGGTAACGTTTCAAATTATCGTATTGCAAAAACTTGTAAGTTGCTGCACGTCTTTGTCGCGAATGGGCTGAGATTTTAGAACCGTTTTTTATTACGAAGTTTCCATTCTTATCTCTCTTCTCGTCTGCATTTCTGGCCCAAAACCGCGTTTAGTTACCAATTAAAGGTTGATACATAATTTTTGCACCACATTTTTCAATCCGTCACTTTCTTCAGCTTCAGTGAAATTTTCTTATTTAAGGCTTATAAAGGAAGGATTCGTGCTTTTTACATGTGCCTGAAGCAAAATTTTTTTATTGGCATATGGCAGCGATACAAGCTGATTAGGAAAAATACCCAAAAAACGGAATTTTGGTCGCTAAAATAGCTAGAAAATTCACTGAAGTTGATCTATTAGGTCGTTTCAAAAGTAATTTCGCTTTTTTTAAACGGGCATCACATGTAATGGAAAAAAGGTTTTTAAGAGATCTTGGAGGCATTCGATGCAGAATTTCATTCTCTTTCTAAAGGCTATGAAATTGTTGCGAAACAGTCAATGAGCTTTCAGAAAATAACCAAAATCTTCGACCTATGCTTTTGGGGATAGTCAAGTTTCACAATTTTTTAAAACTTTTATATCATATCTCCGAAAAAGTGCAAGTAACATCTTTATAGAGCAAACCCTACAGAATGCAAAACTACTTTTTCTCTTGCCATAGGCTTGTCATACATTTTTAGCAGAATTTTAACTGATGCTACCGATTTCCACACTTGGGCAGCTAGATCCTCGTAGAACATCAAAAGAAGAGCAGCTCGCGCATTATTCGATGCAGCATTTTCTCCCCTTTCTTACAATGTTTTTTTTGTTTCCGATTCGTTTGGTTTCCAGGGAGAAATCATCATAACTCATTTTTTAGCGAGCCCCAGGCTGTACCCGAAAAACTCGAAATTTGATATTTCTAACCGTAAACCCTCACTTGCTTTGTAAAATTAATGCTAACTCATAGTTACCATCTTGGTAGTCTCAAATTTCGAAAAATTATGATGTTTGATGCCGTAGTGGCTGAGGTGGCTCCAAAATCCGATAGTTCTGTTAAAAAATCTTTTAGAAAATTACGGCTAGCTACGAGAAAGAGAAAAAAGTGATACTGTATTTTATAAAGTTTACTGTATCGAATCGTTACTTGAGCTCCTTCTGAGGATTGGTATGAAAGTTTCAAAAAATTGTGAAATTTTGGATATTTTCTGAAAGCTCATTGATTGCGCTGCAACAATTTCATAACCGTTAGAAAGAGAATGAATTTCTGCATCGAATGCATACAAGAGCTCTTAGGAACCTTTGATACGTGGTACCCGTTTGAAAAAAGCGAAATCGCTTTTGAAACGACCTAATATTTTGGTCTCTGTTTTATGGCCTACTCTTTTTGACTACAAGAAGTTGGTGATAATCGGATGTACTTACGAATAACTATGATTTTGATTTTTCTACAACTTCTTATCAATTTTATATCAAAAATGAATTTCTATAATGCATAAAATAATGCCTTTGGTGCACATAACGAAGGGCATGTTGTGTGAATGGATTAGCTTCTCAAGCATTTTGAAACAAGTCCATCCATATTTGTATGCCTATATATGGGTGTGAATTGTGCATACCTGGTAGTGTTCATACGATTAGAAATTGCAGAATGCATATTATGTGGTTCGTGTTAAGTCTGGCAGCTTTGTTTGGGTACTAAATATTAGGTTGGTGCAAAAGTAATGCGCGTTTTGCGAGTTCCCACTTTGACGTGCTATAACTTTCTAAAAAATCCGTATTTTTCAGTGCGATCAAGTCCGTCAGAGGCACCAAACTTCTTTCTATACAGCGCACACTAATTTGTGCCAACATCACAAAACGGTGTAAAAATATGGGTTGATAAGCAAAAAAATTTTTTTTCGGAAACCTCGTTTTTAACCGATCATAACTTCCTTCAAGATTTGTCAGTATAAATGAAAAGTTGACTGTCTTGTAGTCGCAAGCCAGTAGTACGAAAAAAAAGTTGAAAGGAGCTCAAACAAAGAAGATTCGCGAAAATGAAAAAATAATATTCAAAATTGCCCGCTTTTTTCGACAATTTTTCGTAGCCCTCAAAATCCCAAAATATGGAGATTTTTGATTTTCTGTGTACTGAACAGCTTCCACATTTCTGCAAAAACTGTCAACAGGAGGCCCACTCTTACGCTTACACAAATGAGCGAAACTTTGGCGATTGCCTTCTTCAAAGGAAATCTATGGGCCACTGAACGGTCAAAACCATCACTCATGTTGAGGCGCCGAAATTTCAGTCTAACTAATTGCTGAGAAAACAGCAAGTTGTGCATAACGTAGAAAAATTTTACTACATACAGCAGTTAAATTTTCAAGAGAATGCGTTTACTCGCGCTGAAATTCTGGCCAAAAAAGTAAGCGCAATGAAATTCTGATTTTGATTGCGGTTGTATGAAGCTCTAGAAATTTCTAACGAATGAGGCTAGAAGCTTATTTCAACCATCACTGAATAGAGCATGAAAGAAGCTTCTTGATAGTATGCTGGGTAAGTTTCATAGGAAAAACTTTGATGGAGAAAAGCTATCTTGAAACAAGGGCTAGAAAAACGCGCATTACTTTTGCACCAACCTAATATTATATATTTTATTATTATATATATTACGGTATTTACATATTATATTATTTATTATTATTTACTTACTTATTTACTTAATATTTAATTCTTTATTATTATTATTTTATATATTTACGGTATTTTTGCTGGGGAAAACAAGCAAAAAATGTAGAGAACGTTGAGGAAGTGAAAGCGACAAGGGACAGAAAAATTTGAGGTAAAGCATAGAGCTCCTTCTCAGCGAGCATTGTCCTGAAATTCGTTACAAACAATGATCCCGCTTTTATGTGAAAAGGACGAACCAGTTGTTACTTTTCAGTTTCAATCCCTGAAGTATGACGTTTTTGGCAGGTTTCTTCATCATTTGCTATTTCGCCACCACTGGTAGCATAAGCTTAAACTTCTCTGCCATTCGAGTTCACCAAAAACGACTTTTTCTGCGCTTACTCTATTGAGCGATATGAAAAAAATGACTTATGGAAATTTATGTGTACAAAATGATTTCGAAATAGTTTGAGCGCTGACACAGTGCGCATGCGCAACTTTGGCTTTGTTGATGATGATCAGTGAATACTAGAGTATTTCCGTCCGTTTGCTAAGAAATTCATAATGAGGAGATGACAACGTAAGAGCGCAATGAGAAGATTGAAGATGCAGAAGTTCGATTTTGTCTGAGTCGCTTATATCGCTATGCAAATATTAGGTTGTCCCGAAAGTTTTGTCGGTTTCTGTCATCGCTCATTAAAAGTCACAAAACACCAATCCATGGACGGCTTAGGTGCCGTTTGAATCAGATTTTTATCCTCTCCCTTACAGCTATACTTGCTCTCCGATCTACTCTGTCTTTGCAATGTTATCGCCATGGCTTTTTGGGCATCTCAGCAGTAACGCCAAATATTTCCTGAATTTCAGAATCCTTTATTATAATGTTTCCAAAGAGCGCTGATAACTATTTGGTAGAGCAGACCTTTGGCTACATTGTAACCATTTTAGATTACGTGGGCCGCGTTTACCAAGTCCATTATAATTATTTATTCAATAAAAACCGCGGCTTTTTGATTAAGTTCAAGACGTAAAAGTACCAAAAATTTTAGAAAGCTGCTTTGCAAAGCGAATTAAAGTTGGTTATGTTGCATAAATAATGTTTAGTAAGAATCATGTTCCAATACGCAATAATTCAAAAGCTTTCGTGTGTTTGATGCAGTTGCAGGTTTCACGACTTTGCCAAAAATCGAGACCTCCGGAGAAATAAATTTTTGAAGCAAATAACAGCAGATTGAGAGAATTTAAAAGCACTACCTTGTAGTCCGAGAATTGCTCTATTCGATCCTTACTTAACTCTTTCCGAAACACTGAAATGAAATTTTCAGAAATTAGCCGAACTTTGAGCAGACAAAAATGACGGTTGAAGAATTTCAGCAATTATCAAAGAAAGCATACAGGATTGTGGTTCGAAAATGTAAGCACAAGAAAGAGAAGGAAATGCTGCATCGAATGCATTTTGAAATACACTCAGGTCCTTATTGTGCGTGGTTTCACAGTGGTTTGAAAAATCCGACAAAACTTTCGGGACAACCTAATATAAAATAGCTCTATGCGGCGGAAGAGCAAACAAAAAATGTGAACGTGAAAAAATTGTAAAAAATTCAGATTTTTGTTTACGATTCGTGTGATCCCATAAATCTTGTTATTGTAGCTGAATTGAGTTTGGACACAAATTACGGGGAGTGCGCTGTTCTTTCAAATTCTTTATAACTCTATGAGGTTTTCATCCGCAGCAACGCAGCTTTCAAGAATGTGTACAAGTAAGACGTAGTCTGCATAAGTCATGAGTTGAGCACAAAAGCCCGCATTCAAACTTGAAGTCTAACTGCTCCTATTCGAATTCTTAAAAGAACATTGTATCAAATCAACACCCATTTACTGCTTTAAAATTTGAAAACATATTCGAAAGCAAACTCGTAATCGATATGACCAACATACAATCATTCAACCGCGGTAGAACAGAATGCTACTTTGCGCCCAATTCTGTAATAGTTTACAAGAATTAATTATAGAATGAACACATTTTTGCGCACAATCAGGCAATCTTTCATGGAATATTGATTCTAATGGCCTCTCAATGTGGTCCATAGCTAGATGGTGGTGGCGGGCCTCCACCTCCATAACCCGGCTCTGGGGACCCACCATAGCCAGGAGAGGGAGGCGGCGAAATGGAGCCGTAAGATCCAGATGAAGGCGGCGGCGAGTATGTGCCTTGGGAGTACGTGGTCGTACACATTGTGCAACTGTACCAGGGCACTTTGCGATGATATACGTATTTCATTTTCACTATCTTTGGTGGTGGAGGTGGAGGCTGAACGACAACTACTTCAATTTCAGGTTCTGGTTCTGGTGGTGGCGGAGGTGGTGGTGGAGGAGGTGGAGGTGGTGGAGGCATTGGAGGAGGCATCATAGGCATATAAGGCATCATAGGCGGCATCATGTAACCCCAATGTGGTCGACGTCGACGGTGATGGCGCCATCCCCACCGTCTACGCGGAGGCATCACGTACTCATGGATGATGTTGATCTCCTTACAAGTTACGCACGTTTTCTTCTCAACGGGTGGTGGCACATACGGAGCTTCTGTAACTGGTGGTGGCGGCGGTGGTGGTGGTACATACGGAGCTTCCGTGGGTGGTGGTGGCGGTGGTGGTGGCGGTGGTGGTGGCGGTGGTGGTGGCGGTGGTGGTGGTGGAACATAAGGAGCTGCAGTCGGTGGTGGACCATATGAGGATCCTCCACAGCTTTGCGCACCACCACAGTCACGACGAAGCCTGGAACACATCTTAATTACATTTAAAGCAAAAATTGATTGTGTAGGATATCTTAGTGCTGACGGCATTTGATCTTATGAGGAAGGCCAAAAGCTCAAAAATTCAAAGTGTCTTGATTTTGTTCGTTTTGCTGCTGCACAAATGTGGAAAACATTTGCAAAATAGTTGTATGTATATGTGTAAATGTATACTATGAAAATATATGTTAAAGGAAATAAACAGTTCCAAAGATTTCTTTCTTTACATATACGCAGCACCCAAATTAAAATCGAGTAGAATGGTCGAGCGATAGATCAAGATAGTAATGACGCTTCATTCCTTATTTTTTTTCTATTGTACAACGCTTTCTGAAATCCTAGAAAATCGTAAGTATAATACTACATTCTTTTAGTCTTCAATGATATGGCTCAAACTGAAATTCACTGCGAAGACGACAATAATTTAATTTACGCGATTATCAACAACTGATACCAAATTTTATCAGCAACAAAATTTGGACGATACTACAAACCGAGAATGTTTCAACAGTAACTTAGACTAATTTCACATTGCTTGAACTAACAAGGGAAGTGTACTAAATTGAATTCGCCTTTTGAAATGAGACACATGTTTTTGAGAATCATCTCGAAACGCTAATTCCGAATATGTTGTTGCTAGCTGCTAACAAGGGGGAGACGGTCAAGAGGCGCGATTTCTCTGGCTGTCACCAATTCAAAACTCAAGTTTAGGGCTACGCAAGTTTTCAAAAAGCACAGACAAAATACATTGGCTTACTAGTCATCTAGATTTACCACTTGCTGATTTTGAAGGCTTTCGCTGAAAATCCGACCAAAATAAATACAAATTTGTTATTAATTGCATTTTTATGAGTTTTTGACCTTCAACATTTTCATTTTGAAACGCTTTTGAGATAGTAAGAATGGACAACTCGTGCAACCATCTGATATATCTCCCCTAAACTCTAAAATACTCCCAGAACCTCATAAAACACTAAATATATGCTATTTGCTGTCCAGCTGGTAATAAAAATCGCGCCTCTTGACATACACCCCTAACAAGGGAATGGTCGGAAGTCAGAAGTCGAAGTGGCCAATCCATCCAAGCTGCATACCATTAAATGTAGCATAGAACGCTAACTCTGAATCTGTCTTCCTTATCTGCAGACCACTTTTGTGCATGAAATTATAAGCCGTTAAAGGCCATTATTTTGTTAAGAAGTTGTTCGTGTAAAGCCCAAACTTAGCCGTACAAAGCCATTCTCGGCTCAGTGTTGGACTAAAACATGCAACTAGGTCAGTTCATATGACCCGTACCTAGAGATGAGCTGAAAGTGCAATAATGTGCCTAATTTCGCATTCTTTGTATACGATTTCGCAGTAAAGCTGCTCGTAACTTCGCCTACAAAGGCGCTCTGCAGATATGGAAGACAGATTTGGAATCAGCATTCTATGCTGCATCGAATGTGATGCAGCTTGTATGTATGGGCCGCTTCGACTTCTGACCATTCCCTTTAAGCAACATTTTCAAAAGTTTAGCAATTACTTACAAGAGCAAACTTATACATCGCTTCAGAATAAGGCTCGGCAGCTAGGAATAGTATATTTAGAATCAGCGTTCTGTTGGTTCCTAATATATGTATCCCCTCTGAACATGGGAATCGAAGTTGGTATCTTTCCTTATAAGCAATCGCTAAACTTTATGATGCTTACACTGCGATTTTTCTATCATTTGTGAATTTGAGGCTGAAGAAAAAAAATCCAAGTGCGAGTGGCTATTGATAAACTTCTTGCCAAGCACATGCGAGGCTTTTAACATGCTGAAATCGTAATAGTTTGTTTTGCATATGAGGATACCTTAATGGAAAAATTTCTTGGTTGAATGGCAAGCGATTCTCAAGATTGAATTTTTACCAGTCATTGACCTTATGTCCAAAAATTAGGAGATGAGAGCCTACTAAAAACTGAAAGCATATTAAAATTAGGAGCCTTTCTTCTAAAACACTTCAGATTATCCGTGTTGTTCGTGACCTTATTTTCTTGCACAGATGTACTAAGCACTATTGACTCCCTAGTATTCTGTGAGAATATACACATTGAAAAAGCCTTCCTTTACTTTTGAAACTTCAGTTCTTAAGCTCCAATTCCTATTTTTTTCCTAAAATTGTGCTCATGAGATCTTAGGTCTTTGAACGTTACTTTCTTCTGATGATCATGAGATCTTAGGTCTTTGAACGTTACTTTCTCCAAATCTCACCAGAACGACGACGAATGCACGTTCAATCAGGTCTAGCCCTTATTCTATTTTGCACGCAGTTACATACTTTCCCAAAAGCTTGCTCTTGATATCTTACAACTATGAAAATCTCATCTCTCTAAGCGACATAGCTCGAAAACGGGAAAAACCCACAAAGTAATGTGAATATCTAGTTATTCTCTTCGCCGGAATAAATAGGTCAATATATAAAACAAACAGGAAGTATGGATGTATTAGCACTTCAGGTGAGCAGTAAGAATGGTGGCAGGTTATCTTGTAATCTGTCTCAAATCATGCAGAACAGGTCACAAATCATATAATGTAACATAGGGAGAAAAAACCCAATTTGCTGTTCAAAAGCTCCCAAAAAGCGAAAGATAACTCATTTTTGAGTTTTAGACTTGATTGGAAGATAGCGGATGGTTTTTGTTTGATCTTTCAGTTTTTCATTAAAACGCTTTTTCTATCCTGTTCTAAAATCGAAGGACTTTGATTGATGATAGTCTACATTTGTGCGGCGTATCCTGACTAGATTGCTTAGAAAATCTTGCAGGTTGGTTTCAGATTGCAATCTACATGTGCTTTTTGCTAGTGTTGCAAAAGGTGCGTACGCTAAGGAGCTTGTAAACATTTTCATCGATGCTGTCCTTTTTGGAGGATCGCACTAGCTGTAACTGTCTGGAGCACAAGAAACTACGAACGGTAGTAAATTGCTGGGCTTATCAACAACCGGCCAACTGAATTACATTGAGCAGCGTACATATCAGAAAGACAATGTGCGTTTGCGATCGCCCGGAAAATTAAACCGCCGAAAGTTCCGAATTTTGCTTCTTAACGCAATGTATTACGCAATTTGAATATTACTAACATGACAAAAATCAGCATCACTGGAACTTTGAAATGTCTAGCGCTCGCTCACCTACTTCTATCAACATTTTCGCATTATATAAAAGAAAAATTATGTTGATCTTCACAAAGCTAAATTCAAAGGAATGGTACAAAGATTCAAGGTTCATCTATGATGGAACAAAAACAAAAAATCCGTTGTGTTTGAATTCAAGTCAAGTTACTTGCTCCCTCTCAGCTGATATCAAAAACTGTAGGTGGAGGTAAATGTGCAGTATGCTTTAGACCTTGACTCTGTGGGGTGAAGCTATGAGATAGAAATTTGCGGGGAAAATTGCAGTATTTCTCGATATCACGAGTGCGCACTGACGTACTCCAGGTTTCAAAATTTTCATGTTCCGAAGGGAAAATCGCTCATTTACTTTGTAGAGTTAGTAATAGTGATAAGAGCGTTTTGAAATCTCATTGATCTGAAGATTTTGCAGTGTTGGTGCAATAACATCTTGCTGATTTTTCAAAACTCCACACTTTTGGAAAATTATTTAGCAAAATTCTAAAAATGTAGCTAAAAAGATGAAAAATTGCTGCGGTTAGCAAAATAACTGCCCCATCTTCTAGTAATTAAATTTCCCCGAAAGTCTCACATAGAAATTTTTTTTTTGAGTTAGCGAAACTTGGACAAGGTGAACGAAGGGTTGCAGTTTTCAGCGATTATCTCAGCATTCTTTCAAGAAAATCACATTGGAACCATGGTAGCTGGAAAGAGGAAGAAAGTTTGCGTCAGATACAGCCTGAAAGGTTGGGTTTATCTTCACTCTACGAAATTTACGGGTTATTTTAGAGAACAAACAAAACTTTCGGACCGAACCTAATACATAATTGTTCTCAATAACATAATCGGCCTCACCTTAAGCTACCCTCTACATCCTGCGATAAGCAGAGAACGGACACCGCAATAAGGAGAATCATTAGTGAATGATGTACAGTGGTCGCCGATGTCGTCTAATGAAAGACGACGAAGAGGACGTTTGTGATTCCAGTCACCGAAGTGTTCGCTAAACATTATAAAAAACGATCTCGTACTGTCATCGACAACCGAAGCTCCACATTTGGTGAAATAGAGTAGAGTTCTTTTGATTTCCATTGAGGCGGAACTAAATGGTATTGTGGATGCAATCTAACAGCAATTATTGCGAATGTACTGTGAACTTTATAGATTTTGAATGTTTGCCAATATTCCCTAGATTTTAACGTGAGGAATTCATTCTCTTCCCGCAAATTTTTAAACTGAATGACAATGAATGACAAAGCTATGCTTTTCAAAATTACTAGTAATTGTAGCTCACTTACCGGAATTCGATACTTATGATACTTTCTTACACCTACTAGTTGGATAGACTTGAAATTATATGGGCGTTACGCCTCATTCTTAGAAAACCTTATATCAGTTCTATACTTTTTCGTAGCAATCTGTAATCCAGCAAAGATTTCATAGTAAAACTTGAAAAGTCTTCGTGCCGAATGTCAAAAAACCTATACGTGAAACGCCCAAACTTGATACTAAAAAGTCTTGCTTTCACTCTTCTCCACAATCATCGCCATTAAAGGAAGATATCAATAAGGCGGAATAGCTAAAATTCTGCAGTTTGAGATATATATTTGTAGTATCCTGGATCAAAGAATAAGCTCTCCTCATGTGAAATAGCCTTTCTGCTTTTGAAGAAACCCATCGTCTTTGGAGAAGAAGACTCCTTGACCGCCCGAGCCTAAGATTTTATAGCAAGCTACCGTCTTTATTCCATATCTCAAAGAATTTTGAAATTGTGGATGGAAATATTAGGTTGTCCCATTGATCTTTTCAAATCTGAATTTTCAGCAACATAAGTTTCTTATGTTACTATTAGGACGGTAT